AAAAAAAAAAAAAAAAAAAATCTGTTTAGTGAATACAGAGGAAAGGAAAAACAAGTATTAAAGGCACGTGAAACCAGGGCCTGAAATTTTGTGTCTGATGCTGCTCCCTTCTATCCAACATTCAACAGTGGGTCTGAATGTCTAGCTGGCCGTTGGCTTGTGCTATGTTAAGAAAGGGAAAAAAAAAACAACCCAAGTGACTCCTTTCTAGTGATATGTGAGCATAGTGTGCTGCGCAAGGCTCTGTGGAAGTAAATCCTTGTTGAGACGTTCAACTTGTTCTTGTGTGCGCACACTGGCACACGTGAGGTCATTGTCTCATAAGACCTTTCTTTTAGTTCTCCGTCAGAAAGGACCTATGAATTTGTACTTTTTGCCATCTCACCCTGTTTACATGCCATAGGTATTCTGGTCTGGATGATGGGTGCCTGTTAAATTAGGTTGTGCTGCCAGTGAGTTGTAAATTTATGCTGGAAGAATGGAGATGGAAACAGGCCTTCAGCCCATTGGCTGTGCTGTAGAGGAAAGCATGGTTCCTTTCTTAAAGAAATCTTCCATGTTTTCTCTAAGTAACACTTCTTTATGGAGCATTTAATGTGGACATGCTAAAAAAGCATTTTTGATGCTAATGAGTTTAGCACTTAAGATCAGATTCAAGAGAATATAGATTCTTGATAAATTTCACTGTTTGCAAATGAGCAGTGCTGCAACATGTACTGTATGAAGGCCATAAAATAGAACTAGTCATGGATAACAGACTTTAACCAGTTAGGTGCTAGATCCTAAGAGGCACTCACAAGGCCAGCAGGTGCTTCCTTGGCTCCCGTGATGGATCGAAGCATAGCGAAAGAAGGGCAAAGACAGCTCTCCAGAGCTTTGTGCTCAGACTACTAAAATAGTTGTTATAGGTGTGTTAATGAAAAGCTTAGTGAGGAGCAGAATGTGGTATTATATTCATTTAACTCAACCCAGAACCGTTGGTCAGAATTGGTGGGACTGGCCTCTTCCCTCAGACTTGCAGTTGATAGAAGCTGTGGTGTTCTGACTAGACTTCACAGAGCAGTAGGCATCTCAAGGTAACAAATTTTTATTGAGTAGGTCTATTAGGAGTCAGAGGGTGTGGGGGAGGGGTCTCCGGCTTACGACTCCTGGTTCCCATGAGTCTTAAGTCTTCTGGTTCCCACAAGAGACTCAGTTTTATTGAGGTAGATACAGGTTTCAAAGGGAAAAGACCAACAGATTTTCAGCGTTGCAGTCACTCGGTTATCTATGAAGGGTTGTGCGAAACAGGAAGATCTAGGAACAACTAGGTATCTTGTTGGCGTAAATATTATGAAAAGGCAGAATACTGGCAAGAAATGAGGAAGAAGAGAGAGAAGAAGGATATGACTTTCTTGAGCGCAAAGGTGCTAGACAACTAGGAACCCAGCTGGGATTGGTGGAGGGAGGGCCGAATGCTGACTAGTGTGGCCTCACCACCCCAGTCTTCCTTTTAGAGGAAGGCCTGCCCTGCTGGAAGGCCTGCCAAGGGGAGGCTGCCTATGAAGGCAGAAGACGTGGATGAATTCAGGCACTGGGGGTGGGGGGGTTAATTTATAAACGCAAGGTGGTTGGTTTAAGCCAGAAGGAGATACCATCCTGATAAGCTCTGTGAAAGAAAAGATGTGCCTGGTATGTGTGCTGCGGCTGGGTATGAAAACACTGAGAAGGAGGAGTGTGTGTAGCATGGGGGTGTGTACAACTTAACACCTGGACTCTTACTGGGGGAGTAAGAAAGTGATTCTGTAACCAACATTAGAATTACTTTGGATTTGTAATCAAAATGGTTCTATGATTTGTCTTTGACTATTTACAGATAATTGTAAATGCTGGTTTTATAAGCCCAAGTCATTTTACATTTGCTTTTCCAAAATGTATTAAATTGGAATTTTTTAATCCTTTATATACAAAAAAAAAAGATACTATCACTCAGTGTGTGTTTCTCTTCCCCTTCTTAGTCAGCACACCAATCCTTTCTTTTATTCTATTTTATTTTAATCAGCACATAGCCTCTTCTGACTTCTCTAAGGACAATCCTCATATCTTCCTGGAGAAAAGTAGTTAAAGTTCCCTTGTGAACTAGCTACTTGGTAGTTACAATTCCCAAATGCAGAACTTGGTCTTTTCATGTTAAAAGCCTTAATCTCATTTGGGTACTCAAAAGAGAAGTCAGAGTTCATTCTGGTTAACTTTAGAAGCCAAGAAAGATCACTTTTAGCAAGAATGCCTTCCGTCCTTGCCAGAGGCTTCCCAGCATCCTTGGCTCAGCTCACTAGGTGATAGGCCCCATAAGACACACACAGGAGCAGGGTGAGAAATGCTTGCTTTAGAGCTGCTCCACCCTTATTTCCAGAGATTCTGTGTCTATGGTTGTGGGTCTGGAAACCTGGCAGAAACCACTTCCAGAGAACCTTTGCCTAAACTCTTACAGAATTGAGGCCCCAACTTTGACGGCTCATTTAATACCTAATTTCTTCCATAATAGATATTTTTACTAGCAGAACAGATGGCACTGATTAGATAAGGAATTATTTGTAAGTGCCTGTTATGTTTTTTTCCCTGCATCCTGTACATAAAGTTTTAAGTGGCAGGTCCAGATACGTAAAATCATTTCTATTTTCCAGCTGGTTTTGTTAATGATTCTCTAGGATAGCAGGTAAATGAGTTAAATAAGTTGTTGGCTTGGGGCAAGTGAAGTTTGCAACTATGCTTGATTTAATAAGCTGAGAGTCTCTTGTTTGTCTGTCAAGGTGCCTTCCTCTGCTGAAGCCTTACCTCCTTCTCACCCAGCAACGGTTAACTCTTCTCTTGTGTATATGCAAATAAACCTGTTATTCACTTCTCACGTCTTCCTCTTCTCTTCCAGGGAAGACTTGGTTGCTTAGACACCTCTCCTTTACTTCTTTTCTGTTTTAATTCTTGCCTAGGTGGAAGCTTGATTGAAAGCAATATTGAGAACTAGAAGAAAAACTGCTGTATTCCACATCCATGACAATGGTCATTGTCACTTTTAGGTATTGGGACAAAGGTCACATCTGGACAACAAAATGCAGGGTAGGAGGAGGTATTTATTTGGTTTCCTTTACCAGGTTTAAAGGGACTTAGGATAGCCAGACGCTGGAACTGACGCTTTTATGAGTTGGAACTGAGGGAACAATGCAGTGAAGCGACATTACAAACAGCTCCCAAAGAAATATATTCTGATGTTTCCAAATACCAAATTGCATTTCTTGCCTTGCCCCAGGCATGCACTGCAAATTTTTTCTAAAGAAAAAAGCAAAACTCATATCTCTTGCCTGTAAAGCTGCCTGCTACTGTTAACTGAAATATTCTTGGTGTCCAGAAAACAGACACGTCCAAAGGAAGACTGTCCTTCCCCCATGACCTAAGCAAGGCAAGATGTCACAATTGAAACACCAAGGTGAAGTAAGGCTCAGTGAGTCCCAGCCTTGCCTACAGCATCAGCAGGATGGTGGTTTTGAACAAAATCGTGTGGTTCTCAGGTGGGATATTCCAGTTTGAGTGCTCATTTGTCTTTGAGCACTCATACTGGAATGCAATTACATGAATTCAAACAGTTGAAAGTAATTTTGAATTTCTCAAATAATGATGCTTCTCACATGCAGTAGTGCATTGAAAACCTGTCTCCATCCTAATTGCATTACATTGTTAGAACAATGGTGGTAAGATGCTTCTCAGAATGGAGGCTTAGAGGCAAAGGTAAACTTCCCTGGCCCCTGCACTAACATGGCCCAGATAAGCAAGAGGAGTTACTGTCTTCAGTTCGCAACACGATTTATTCAAATGTGCAGAGGATCCAGCAGTGCTTATCTGCAAGACAGTCACATTGTAAGGAAATGGGATATCTAAAGTTTCAAATACTGAAGTTGGGAACTGACTCCTTTGGTCTTATGGCCCAAAGCCATAAGCTTGTGGAATATTCCATCCAAAGGACAGAATGCTAGCTTAGAAGCCAACCTGCCTTTGTTAATTCCCAAACTAAAGATAGGAAAGACAGTAAAACACTAAGATATCCAGGGGCTCACCCAGACTCTTTAGACATAAGAGAAGTGTTTGTTGTCTGGGGAACCTGGGAGTGAAGACACTGGGGAAAGGGAATCAGGAAGACTGCAAGGGAAGAAATAAAGTGCTAGATGGGTCCAATAACTTCCTGGATCCACAGAACTATCATTTAATGTGCCATGGGACTGGCCTCTAAAACACTTGGTTATCAAGATTCTGTAACCAAAATCCTCCAGTACATGTACTTCTTGACTTATGATGAGGTTATGTCTGATAAACCCATCATAAATTGAAAATGTTGTAAGTCAAAAATGCACTTAGACCAGGCATGGTAGTTCACACCTGTAATCCTGGCATTTTGGAAGGCCAGGGTGGGCAGATGCTTGAGCTCAGGAGTTCGAGACCAATCTGGGCAATATGGCAAAATTCCATCTCTTCAAAAAATAAAAAGAATAGCCAGAAGTGGTGGTACACACCTGTAGTGCCAGCTGCTTGGGAGGCTAAGGTGGGAGGATCACCTGAGCCTGCAGAGGTGAAGACTGCTGTGAGCTGCGATTGCTCCAAGGCACTCCAGCCTGGGTAACAGAGTAAGACCCTGTCTCAAAAAAATTATTTTTAACACATTTAAAATACCTAGCCCTACTGGTGGCTCATGCCTGTAATTCCAGCACTTTGGGAGGCCAAAGCAGGCAGATCCCTTGAGGCAAGGAGTTTAAAACCAGACTGGCCAA